ACTCTTTCCTGCCTATGCAGGAGGTCGGACTCGATGATCTATTGAGGTCCCTTTCAGCCCTAACATCTATGAATCTCAAATAATATCTAGTAGGGGAGGCACTGTTTAATATTGTGTCTCCCACTGCAGCAGTTAGAGTTCACAACTGACATTTTAAGGCCAAAACAAGGCAGAGTTAATTGGACAAAATGGTTGCCTAATCAGAAATTATTAGTATATGAAATACACCGATGTGATGAGACGCTGGCAAGGTGCCAGTAAAAAAGGACATGCGTTAAATCCTCCACCTTCTTGATTGTTGTTATCTTCACTCATGCTATGTCTAAAATCTACACCTAGCCTCCCTGGGGCATGGACCTTGTTTAATAATCCATGTTTCAAATCTCCTCATACATCTTTGGAAGTGATATTAATTAATACGCAAATGGTAATCCTGTGGCTACGCCAGACAAGAAAGCTGATATTTTTAACAGTTTCTTTGCCTCTGTTTTCTTGAACAGGGACCAGGATATCCCACCTACCAGAGGTAGGGGACAATCTGGGGGATAGCTCTGTCAGGCCTTTAGTCAGTGCAGATGTAGTTAGGGATCTTCTGGAAGGGCTAGACATTTTTAAATCTGCAGGTCCAGAAGCCCTCCACCCAAGGGTGTTGAGGGAGCTGGCAGGGGTCATCACAGAGCCCTTGGCCCAGCTGTATGAGCATTCGTGGTCATCTGGGCAGGTGCCAGGGGATTGGAAACTGGCTAATGTGGTCCCAATATTCAAGAAAGGGAGGAAGGAGGACCCAAGTAACTATAGGCCTGTAAGCCTCAGCTTGGTGCTCGGGAAGATCTTGGAGAGAATCATCAAGGAGCACATCCGTGGGGGGCCTGCAGGGGAGATCATGCTCAGGGGCAATCAGCATGGGTTCATCAAAGGTAGGTCCTGCCTGACCAACCTGATTGCTTTTTATGACCAAGTAACTAAATCCTTGGATGATGGTGTTGCTGTGGACATAGTCTTTCTAGACTTTAAGAAGGCCTTTGACACTGTCTCTCAACCCATCCTCATCAATAAATTAAGCGACTGTGGCATTGATGCTTACACAGTTGGATGGGTAAAAAATTGGCTGATGGGGCGCACCCAGAGAGTAGTGGTGGACGGGTTGTACTCAACCTGGTGAGATGTGAGCAGTGGGGTACCCCGGGGCTTGGTCCTCAGGCCTGCACTGTTTAACATCTTCATCAGCTACTTGGACAAGGGGGTGGAAAGCACGTTGTCCAAGTTTGATGATGACACTAAGATGTGGGGTGAGGTTGACACACTTGAAGAGAGAGAGAGGCTTCAAACAGATTTAGGCAGACTACAAAAGTGGGCAGACGAGAATAGGATGGGGTTCAACGTAGACAAATGCAGGGTGCTGCACCTTGG